AAAAATGTAAATTATAAACTGTACGCTCAGTGCACCCTTGCTGAATGTCACTGTGCAACTCTACTGTCTGGTCTCCTTTCATCTATTTTCAAAATCTATTATAAAATCATAATGTTCCCCAAAAAAGAGGGCTAAAAAAGCTAAACATTACAAAGAAAAAAAAATGTAGTTTAAAGCCATGAAATGTTTTAATTTGTCAAACAGATTTTGTCTCTCAGGGGTACCTTCAGATACAACACATGGGGGGAAACCAGCTTAACACCGAGGTGAGATTTCTTTTAGTCTTGGATAGAAGTCTAAAGAACACAATAATTGCAGTCTGCTTGAAAAGAAAGTATGAATTGGCTTTTCAGCATCTAGTATCTCATGAGCAACTATACCATGGTGATATTTCAGAGTGGGAAGATGACTCCTTTCCCCCATTTTCCTCATAATGGAAAGCATCTTTTGCCATGACAGTGTAAAAGCACACCTGGGGTTGTCTGCCAAAGTGAAAGGCTTTACTCATAATTTTCCAGTCAACCGTGTTTCATTTAAATGTAGCATCTATACATGATATTTTATAGCTTAAAAAGATGTTAAATCTTTGTTTGGTTAAACTGGCTTTTGCACAGGGTATAATCCACTCAGTGAGCTCTACATATACATTTATTTTTCCTGAACTGAGATTTTTGGTTTCTCAGAAACACCAGATCCATGGTAAAAATGGCGATGCCAGACAGGGAGATATTCAGTGTTTATCCCCAGTGATGGTACTTCAAACAATACGTTTGGTGCAACCCAAACTACATGACCCACAGCTTTAAGACAGAGACACGCGTCTTTCAACATGTGCACCAGTTTGATGCGTCAGTTTGATCAGTGCTGGAAATACCGTCGAATATGACACTCTGGATGCACAAAAAGGCGAAACGAACAAACAAAAAAACCTATGCTCCATTTATGACAGCAGCAGAATACAAACCTTTGTGCTGATACTTCTCTTATGAGTGTGACAGGTGCTATGTCATTATTAATGTACAACCAAGAAAGATGGTAAGTGTGGTGTGAGGCACATTGTATGTCAGGTGGAATAAGACTCTTTCTGTCAGGCTTTTTCAACAAATAACCTCAGAGAGAGGGGGAATGTGTAACAAGCTCGGGCAGTGGACAATACATGCTCCTGACAGTGTGCTCCTGTAGCTAAAAAAGCACAAAGGTAAGACAAGCCTGCAGGCCATGAAACTGTGGGTTTCCAGGAGAATGTGTTGGCCAGCATGAGTTCAATGAAAATCACTCAACCATGTCCTTTGGTAGACACACACACACACACACACACACACACCAAAAAAAACAAAAGAAAAATTAAAAAAGGACTTATCCAAATCACATAAAGGATTTTATAGAAGTGGCTTTTTCTCTCCCTTCCTGCAGGCAAATGTGTAGCAGACATTCACTGAGTACTGACCAGACCTAAATCACTGATTCAAATCCATTAAATACAATTTCGGCAATAACAATCCATTGCTCAAAGCGGAGAGACTTTCCTCTTCCAATTAATACATCAATTAATTCTAAGTGATTTATCTGGTCTTAGAGGTGAAGGTTGAACTCCCTGGTACATGCTTCCTATAACATTTATTAAAGAAACATGTCTTTATGTCATTTAATTTTCCTTTCCAAATCAGTATTATTTCAGCTTTGCCTGACTCAATTCAGAACGCTTTCGGGGTGAAGAAAGAAAACAGACAGACGGAGAGAGACTACGCATGTCCCAATCAGAGAGGTACGTGGGATCAGAGATCATCCACTTCAAACAGAAACAGGGACACACAGACGCCTGCCTGCCTGCCTGGTTGTCTATGCATGTTTAAATGGCAGCTGACAAGCCTGAAAACAAAACCAAATCAAATTTAGCACATACTCTCAGTCAAGTGAATACTCAGTGCATGTGTTATTGTGCCTGTGCAAACAGCAGTCTACATATATCTCTATCTATCTATCTTTCTATATAAAATAGCAGCTTCTCTTTTAAGAACAGCAGAATGTAGCCCTGCCCAACGCAATCTCACTAAGGGCTTGGATATAGCTTTCATCCATCATTGATCTTTCTCCCCCAAGGTGCCCTCTATATCTTCTAAATACTTACCAGTGTGTTGATTGTGTGGATTTGAGTACACATGGGACACGTAACCCATAGTAACTCTATCCCTGCAAGAGAAAATTCAAAAATATATTTAAACCTGTATCTCTGTTCCACACTGACAAGACAATATAACCCTATACCCTGCACGTTTTGTTGAGAATATAGACATTTTTTGTGTTAGTTCAACCTGCCAACTGTTCACAACAAGAAAGATGTATTGTCCCAAATTACTAACTAACATGCCCAGGACCTGGACCAGATCCCTGCCACATGCACATCTAAGTGAAAGGCAGTGGTTATCATGGACACCCATGCTTCTTCCTGCAATTATGTCCAAAGACTGCTGTGAAAAAAGCACATTTTAAAGGTAGTCAAATCCAGGACTCTTAACTGGTGGCAAATGAAATGTAGTGTTCCACTGTTGAGCCACATATAGCAAAAACCACATCGACTTTTAAAAATTACTCAGATTAGAGCCATCAGCAACCTTTAGAACCACATTGCGAACAGCCGCTCCGCCATACTGCACCAAAAGCAATGACACCTTTAAAGACTCCCATGTTAAAGTGACAAACTTCATAGCATAATCTTTTTACAGTCTGGTCAAAAAAAAAAAAAAAGGTTTTATGGAGTTATCCATCCATCCATTTTCTTCGGCTAATCCGGGGCCGGGTCTCGGGGGCAGCAGCCCAAGCAGAGAAGCCCAGACCTCCCTCTCCCCAGTCACCTCCTCCAGCTTGTCCAGGGGAACAACAAGGTGTTCCCAGGCCAGCCGAGAGATATAATCTCTCCAGCGTGTCCTGGGTCTGCCTCGGGGCCTCCTCCTAGTGGGACATGCCCGGAAAACCTCGCCCAGGAGGCATCCTTGTCAGATGCCCGAACCACCTCAACTGGCTCCTTTCAATGTGGGGGAGCAGCAGCTCTACTCTGAGCCCCTCCCGAAGGGCCGAACTTCTCACCCTATCTCTAAGGGAGAGGCCAGCCACCCTTCGGAGGAAGCCCATTTCCGCCGCTTGTATTTGCGATCTCGTTCTTTCGGTCACTACCCACAGCTCGTGATCATAGGTGAGGGAGAGCTTCACTTTTACACTCAGCTCTCTCTTCACCACAACAGACCGGTACAGCGTCCGCATCGCCGCAGCCGCTGCACCAATCCATCTGTCAATCTCCAGCTCCCTTCTCCCATCACTCGTGAACAAGACCCCGAGATACTTGAAGTCCTCCACTCGCCTCTGTCAGTGCGCCCCAGGGTGGCTGTGGCTACAGTATAGCTTGCCATCACTAGTGTGTGAATGTGTGTATGAATGGGTGAATGGGTGGATGACTGGATATGTAAAGCGCTTTGGGGTCCTTAGGAACTAGGAAAACGCTTTACAAATACAGGCCATTTACCAGTTGGGGCAGGAACTCGTCCCTGACCCGGAGTGGGCACTCCACCCTTTTCCGGCTGAGAACCATGGCCTCAGATTTGGAGGTGCTGATTCTCATTCCCACCGCTTCACACTCGGCTGCGAACCGTTCATGGAATTAATAAACCTAAAATGGACGAGTTAAGGTTTAAAGTTAAGAGCCATGGTCGGGCTAAAGGAGGCAGCTGTAACCAGCAGCTATCTGCTAGGTGTCGCCTCAGCTTTTCAAGTGATGGAACTGGATGTTTTTATTGTTTGTGCCTTTTGGAAAATTTTAATGCAAATCAATGACACTATTTTATGCTATGTTGAAAGCTTCTTTTTTAAAAAGGTATTGTAACAGTTTGAGGTCGCACATTTAAAAAAAAATCCTACTTGTCTAGGTATTAAGATTTATTTAAAAGACTTAATAGCTATCTCTCTATAAATGGGGACTTAACATTACCTAAATCTTTATGAAACCGGTGGGATATTTGTTGTTATCAGATCAGATCAGAATACTTTAATCTCAGGGGGAAACTGTTGAGAAAGTGCAAAATTTAAAAAGTTCAAAGAGTAGAGATTAAAGAAAAAAAAAAAATAGGAGCAACAGGCTGCATGCATGGTGAGACATGCACATTGTATATTAATCATTTGGAAGAAAGCACACAAAACAGGCTTGGGGTGTGTACTATGAATCAGCAGCTCTCCAGCTGTTTAACACCACCAGGGTTGCATTTAAAACAAACCAGCTAAAACTGTCTTACACCTCACACAAATACCTTTTATTAAAGTTGCACACTAATTTAACTAAATACATGGTTGTGGTCCTCTTGTGATAGTGATAGGCCGCTTCATTTGCACAGTCAGTATTTTTGCTGGCTTTTCTTCCTGGCATAACATAGAATTTATTAATATAGTGCTGTCAAAGCTAAACCAACCACAGCAAATTTTTTTTGTCTAAACATAGTGTACCACATTTTAAAACATATACAGCTGCTTTTCCCATAGCAGTCGTGCTGATTTTAGTTTGAAGCCGTTTTTATTTTACTTCATTAAAATATTAAATATCCCACTCAGCTGCATGTAGACCCGTCTGTGTTTCCTACAGGTCACACCCACTCTTTTATGTAAACTGTGTTGACTTAATGATTTGATAGCCAAAAATGATAGCCTACTATATCTATGTTAGGGACAAGTAATTCTAGATAATTAATTTTTGTTTTTAAAAAAAAGAAGGATTGAACTTATTTTACAGTCATAATAAGGTTAGTTTTCATTGAATTTTTACACATCAATGGGATGATTAGGTTTAATTAGAGCAAATGTATTTAAGAATAAAAGGTAAAGGGAAATCAATGTCTTAAATTACAATGAAACTTATAATAATGTATATAATAATATACAATGCTACTGGGCAGATGGAAATAAAATATATATTCAGCTTTTCTTAAGATCTGGTAAACGATGATCCACAGACAAAGATGTTTAGATAGTGAAAGTTTTATTTTCCACCATTTTGCTTAGAAAACATGTCTCTAACCTGAGAACAGTGAGGCTGCTACACAGAGGAGAAGAGGATTTTTTTTTCTTCCTTTTGCCATTTCAAAAAAGAAATGCAAGAAAAAAAAAGTAAGCCACGAATGACCTTTGATTTGTGATCAACCATCTTTTAAGCAGTACTCATTTCTTCACATTCACATCTCTCCTCACTGAGGTGTAAAGAAAAAAAAATCTACTGCAAAACATCTATCATTCGACTTTGGCTAGGAGCCTCATTTGATAGACCAGACACTTGCACTATATCGCCCAGGTTTGAATCCAGTTGTTGCAGCAGAACAGCACTTTTAAAAGCACAAGCAAGTCTGAGATATTAAAATGTGATAGGCTGCCCGATGTTGCCAGGGGTCTGAGTGTTGGTTTTTCTTTGCTGGATCCTGAGCTGTTGATACAAGGAGAAGCAATCGTGCTCTATTAAGTGAAGTTTGACATCTTTCTTCCACTCACATTTTCCCAAGTTGGAAAAAACAAACAAACAAAAAAAAAAAACCACATCATTTATATTCATTCACAAAACCTTCAGCAACGTTAATGTTGCCTTTTGCTGTTTGTACAACCAATTACAGTTTACTTATTGTTTGCCTGCGTGGGTGGAGAAATATGTAAGATCATTTCCAAGTTACCCGCATGCAAACTATTTAGTCTTTTCGTAGAGAATGAGTCATGCTCAACTAAGAACTGCAACACAGAATTTCCGTGTACTCATTTTCTATAGTGAGCAAAGTCTTTGAGCACTGCTCTCCAGGGTGCCCCCCACCCCCTTGTGCGTTGAGCTCCATTTGAAGTGTTGCAATACCAAAATAGAGCAAACAGATTGAAATGAAACATGGGGATTATTCTTGCATGTACTGGGACACAGGTAAGTCACACGACAAAGGATGAAAACAAAACCCACAGTACCTAAATATTATGTGGCAAAAGTTGGGATTTGCCCCGCTCACCTCTCCACAACATGAAGTTTGACGTGTCTGCATGTTCCACATTCTAACATTTCACTTTGTATTTAAATACCACTTCACCAGCAAATGCCCAACACTTCAAGTAAACCACATTTTAGCCTCAGCAAACTGAACTTCATAGATTGCACACACTTTGTTGTAATTGTTTTGACAATTGCCAGCATGGAACTAATGAGTTATTGATTGTTTACTCCCGGAGATAATCTGCTTTAACATTCTGTAACATCTGTATTAAAACATGAGAAGCCATATTTACATAAATCAGCCCAGAATCATCAGCAAGCACAGATTCTTGTTTGTCTTTGGGTCTAGGTAAGCTATGTGTGTCACATTATTTCTGTCTGTAGAATCATGTTTTTCATACTTTGATGTCAGCTTCTCTGGATGCATAAATTTCATCATAACGGGTCTCCATCAAGGCTTCTGTCAGCAAGCAGACTAATAAATTAAAGGGGCTAAAAACAAAATATTAATACAGAACTCAAAAACACAAACAGAATAAAAGCATGAAGTAAGTCAAAATTAATAACGAGGCAAAGGGTTTGGGAAGGAAAGAAATAACTGACAAACATCGTAGTCCATGAATGAAGCTACATAAATACAAATAAAGAAGGGCAGCAGAGGGTCTCTCTCATAGCTAGTCCTACAGTAAAGCACCCTGATAAAGGTGAGTGGGCATCTTTTCTTGGAGCACATTTCTACTCAGCTGCAGCGGGTGGTTATCTCAATACGATTGGAAAAGTCAAGTGCAGCCAAAATCGGCTAGTGAAGGGCTCACAACCTGGGAACCCAGGGGAGGATGCATTCACTAAAAAGAAAGTGATTCTCCATAAAGTCTCTCGTTTTTTTTGTTGTTGTTTTTTTTTCTTGCGTTGTTTCCCACTGTGTCAGTTATATGTCTGAGTGGGTGTGCCCTGCGCTGCTCTTTTGGTTTCATTCACTGTGGTGGCGTTTCTCCAACCATTTCAATGCCGTGCTGCTGGAGTTGCGCTCGGAGCAATGCGTTTTCATTTTTCAGCTCTTCAATCTTAAACCAAAGAAGAAAAAAAGCATCATCCACAACATTCTCCACAGAAAAATACAGCCTTAACTTTACTGACCAAACTTTTTCCTTTGAATACTGAGAGCTGACTAATGTATACACAGGACTATGCAATCCCTGAGATTAGAGAGCAGTGTGTGTATACCCTGTAAGACACCGATGCCCACAACCAACTGGATTATCAAATCTTGAGGTATGTCATCTCTGCTACATTTCCCCTGGGCGAATCCTGAATTCATTGCCTCCCCACTGAGGGACTGAGGAAGGATATTCAGCTTTGAGCATCTGAATAAGAATATATCACTGAATCGCTTGCAGACCAAAGATTCAAGCAAGAGACTCAGAGCTGCAAGATTTCACAATACTTTTGAGTGCATTAGCATGCACTTAGTTCCCACACAACCCCTGTGTATATTATTCCCACAGTCTCTCAAAGCACTGATTTCAGGTAACACTTCTCATTATCTGAGTGCAAATTCTTTGATCCACTTTGTCAGGCTGTGATGATCAGCTATGCAGCCTGAAGTCTCAGGGGGTTTGTTTCAGAGAAATGAAGATGCATATGGGGGCTAGGTGGATTTCATGCTTCTGAGACTTAAGTGAAAGAATGTTGCATTGAATTATAAAGCAAACTAATCTATTCAATGCAGTGGCAATCTTCACAGCCACATATGCAGCCCAGTATGCCTGCCTTATTATGCGCAAGTTTATTTATCTGCTACACCCAACCACCTCAAAGGAGGACTCTGAATTATCATTCATAGCCCTTCTTTACACATTACCAAAGCCACGGAAACTTCACTTGATGCCCCATTTGCAGCCTAGAGCAAAGACTGATATTCATACCTGCTGTCTGCACAACTCATTGTCCATTTGTATCCTCTCCACTTCCTTCAGACTCTCTTGCAGCCTCTGGTTGCTTTGCCTCAGCTCACGAATATAGTCACAAGCTTTAGACAGGATGCCTCCTTTGCTCTATAAATACAGAGGCATTGTCACAGTTTTTTTTTTAAAAAAGAAAGAAATATAATTATTGTGATAAATAAAATTTTTATAGAGTATTAATGAGTCAAGCGCAAATTTAAAAGACAAACAAACTGCTTACTGCTCCGGTTTTGGTGCTATCCATACTGCAGTCTGGGATAATCTTGGAAAGTGTGACAATCCAGTTGTTGATCTTGTCTCTTCGCCGTCTTTCGACTGATGAACAGAGATGAAAGAAGAACTGTTTTTAAAAGGAGTATATGCATACAAGCCACATTTCCAGATTTCTAATTTAAGCTACAGTAAAAGATCACAGGTCATTCTGTTTTACAAAACAAGGTTTTCATCCGCCGGATCTCGTCAGTACCGACATTCCTGACTGACTTTGACAGCTCAACAGCAACCTCTAGTGGCTGGTCAAAATAATATGCTGTTTTTTTTTTTTTACTCTTAACAGAATATTTTGAGGGGGCTTAGTGATTTTCTTTCATCAAAAAATGTTCCATTTAGGCACCACACGGCATTGTGTTAAGACTGTCTGATGAAATCAAAAGCCACAATCATGACTAATTACCCACCTTCATTATGTTGTGCTCTTCTCCTTTCATCTCTTGGTGTTCGGGGTCCATCCATTTTCCTGCAGATAGACAGGAAATAAAACACTTTTCATACACTACAATATCTCCCATCTCTGCGCTCCATACAATCGGACACAAATCCAATCCAATCCTCCAAATCCTTTGCCTATTAAAAACCATTCTTCACTGTTATCTTTAAATTCAAGCCTATTGTTATTGCCATTTAAAATGAGCCTCTGAAGATGGTTAGTGCCTTTGGTAGAAATATTAAATGATGCACAGCCCTATGAGGTCACATATGCAGTCCTGACGCCTGCAGCCTTGAGCCAAGCTGCCTTGTCTGGAATACTGAGAATCAGCTAGCCTCCTTACTTTAGCTGGCTGTCCTCTTCCCAGGTGTGGCCTGGAGGAAGTGCAATGCTTTATTATGCTGTAAAATTACAACACTGTAGAAAACCAGATGCTGCTTACTGAAGTTGTGGTGTACACCTAATGACACAACTGTCTCTTGTCTTTGCAACCTCCCCCAGGATTCAGTTAATTAAGTCTCAGAGACGTGACAAGGAGACTTATCATACCACCCACCATGGCATGAACAGACCAATAACACACTCACGCATAATCAAACGTGGTCTAGTGTACACTGAAGGCACCTGCCACATAAAAGGCAGGACCTGGGATGTCCTGACAGAGCATTACATTATAAAAAGGTAATCAATGTTATTCCTTTCAACTAGGTTTAAAGCTGTGGTTGATAGCTGTACAACCAAGTGTCGGTTTCACTAATTGAACACCGGGGACTACAAAATTCTGAAAATAAATTAAACTACTCCTTATTGCCACTGCAATTTTGCCTGCAATTTGCGTGATGTAATAAATTACCTATGAGGTTGTTTGTCTTCATTGTCTGCCTTAAAACAAATCTTTTCTAGTCTACTGCAGAGAATTTGTGTCCAATCAACACAACTTGACTGCTGATAGCTGACTATCTCAAATGAAGCTAAGCCAAACGGCACTCTCACATGTATCTTAACACATCTTAATGGGATTTCAGCTGTATAATGGATTCAGCAGCCAAACAGTACTCTTAGGCAAAGTGTTAAAATATGCGGATGGCGGTTTGAATAACTAAATGTACATGCCTAGAGGAATGTTTTTTCCCTGCACACCTCTTTTAAGTGCCCCCGAGAGTAAAGGCTGTCAGAGAAACCCCAAGAATTAAGAGTACGTTTCCTCTGGTAGAAGACTTTCCATATGTTGAATACAGCATGTATAAAACAAAAAAGGTCTGCACAATTTTTTATTGATCTGTAAAATGACAAATGTAATCATTTACCAATGCACCTCCACTCTCCACCCTCTTCCAAAGTTTTACTTTTATGTCACCAAGCCATGGCCTTGACAATATTTCATTAAATTACACAGTGAAAAACAAGAGACTGCAGGCTGAGATTCAAATCACCTCGATGGATGAGTTCAGAAAAATAATTCTAAAAAAAAAAAATAATAATAATAATTTAAAATTTCTTTTTTTAAAAGATCCTGTGTATATTACTGTCATGGTCTCAAAAAATGAGCACAAAAATTTGTGAGTATTAGCTAGTTATTCACAAATAACTACTTATTTTGAAAGTAGATGTTCCAAGTGAAAGCACATGGCTTCCATTGGCTCAATTTATCTCAATATCCCTGTCATATCAACAAAATGCACTTAAAGAGCAAATGCTGTCCATATAGTTTTATGACCAACTTTAAAACTAGGCTGAAAGAGAACCAAACTCAAATGGCTACAACAAAAAACACTTTGAAAATTATACTAAAATAAAAGTGTGGAGTGAGCCATTTGTTTCCAGATGGAGAACAATGACCTGATTTCTAGTCCTAATGGAAAAATACATTTGCCACAAGCAGTACTAACAACAATGGATCAGGGTCAGCGCTGAAAAATTGCTACACCTGTGTCTCACACATCAAGAGCAGGGAGAATCACCAGGGAGGAAGGGAGGGGTGGAGAAAAGTGAAGGGCAGAGGTTTGTGTGCTTCTTTGCTTCTTGTGATCTAATTTGATTAGTTCATTTGCTGTAAGAGGAGTGGGGAGAAATGTGGAAACTGTCCTCACCAGTTTAAAACTTCATGTTGCAGCAGCTCGTTTTCATCTCTGTGAATGGCAGATAGGTTGGGTAGTTTTCATTCACTTTGCTCACATGCCAACGAAAACGTCACGGTTCATCACTTTACATGTAAATATAATTCTATTTGAAGTCACTGAAAATCATAAATTATTCATGTACAGTAAGTCACAACTCCCCTTAAATGTGCCCTGAACAGAAGAACAAAAAAATAATCTCTAGTTCTTGGAAAAATAAATAGATAAATAAATAAATACATAAATAAATAAATGAGAAGTGAAATGTAAAAAACAGCTTAGATAGAAGATAAATAGAAGATAAAGTGCTGTATCCTGGTTGCTATTCCTTATAGCAGTGTTATCTGATTGACCACAATCCAATCACTTTCACGAGTTAAAGGTTAAGTATAGGCCTGGATGAAATCAGAGGAATGTTCACTTAGGCTCGGAGCTAACTCAATTTGATATTGGGTCATGTGTTAATTTTTAAGTGACCAACCAGGCAAAAAACTGGCTCGTACCAAACAGGGTACAAAAAACAAAACAAAACAAAAAAACAAAACCTAGCCGACATTCATGAGCCTTGAATCTCACAGGGCTATGGCTCTTGTGCCGGTGTGTTTTGGCACTCAAATGAACCATGAAATAAATAAATAAAGCTTGTTTAAATTCCCTTTTCTGAATAAAAACCAGTAGTAGGCCAAAACCAGCTTGGTTCGCATGCAATTAAAATTAAAACCCTTTGCTCAGGTGAGCCTGCTGATGATCTTAATAACAGCAATCACCAGCATGTGGCTAACAGTTGGAGAGTCTGAGATGGATCCCTTTGATACATGATTAGAATAATGGATGTTGTGAATTTTAGCGATAAACAGTATGAGAGTTCGAAAGGTAAAAAAAAAAAGATTTGTGGCTTCCATGTGAAAAAAAAAAGAAAAAAAGAAATCCTTAAAAATCAATCATAACCATGAACTCGGGGTGAACACAAGAGAGATTACCTGGGCAGAAAAACAGCCTTGAGTAAAAGAAAACAGCAGTGGCAGCAAGGCTGAGAAATTTGAGCCTTGCAGTTGTTCAAATGGACGTCACAATAGTCTTTCAGTCATGTTTGAATAGAACATTCATTCATTTTTGCTCAGATAGATTACTACTAATACATCATTCCAATCTGCTGCATTGCAGTTTAACTCTACTTCTACACTCTCCTCTTGCATTAGCAGTTACAGTTATAGCGTGCTAAATACTGATTTTGAAAATACATCTCATTTAAATTCTGAATTTAGGAAACTATTTTAAACGGTTTATTACGACATATTCACCCTTTCATTTTTTAGCTTCTGTTCTGCCACCTCGATTCGAGCAATTTGCGGATCAATATCTTGGCTTTTTGAAACTAGATGTATGAAAAAGGGGTAGATCTGACTCCAAAACCAACACAGTAGCAACCCTTTTTAGTCACACGGTTGAAACTTACACTGCTTTACTGTATACCTTAAAACAGGAATGATAATTCACAAAATGAACATCTTGCTATGTTAAATAAGACTTAAAAGTAGCAATTAAGACCAAAAGCTCATTAGGAAAATGTTTGCTGGAGAGCACTAGGGTTGTCTCTCATAGGCTTCTTTTTGTAACCACAGGGGTCGCTCACTGCTGGCCATTAGAAAGTATATAGGTTTAAGTCAATTCCACATTGGAGTCCCTTTTTATGCCTGGGAAAACAGATCCTTCTTTTATACAGTCTATGCACACACAACATAGCTCACAAAGCTGCAGCTCTTCTCCTTGCTCACAGTGCCGTCTTATTATCATCACTCTTTTCAATGTTTTGCTTTTCACTTGATTTTTATTGCCTTTTCAATGCATCACAATCTTAGAGGCTTTTTGAAAAAGTGCAAAAAACATTTTTATCTTGCTGTTATATTTATCTTTTAATGATAATCTATGCCCTCGTTGTTATGACAGTACTAATTCAGACTCTGATGGATACCATTTCTTGAAAGGATGTGTTTTGTAGAGATGCACTCTGAAGCATTAAGAGAGCAGAGCCACACTGCTAAACACAAATCATTTATTGCTGCAATAAATGCGTAAAGCCCTTATCAAAATTAACTGAAACCTAGTAACTTTATTATTATGATATTAGATTTATTTAACAGCTTTTGTCATTAAATCTACTTTTAAACAGTGAAATTAAAACATGCCTAGTTTTATGTGTCTCAAGCTGCAATGGCAATATTGTTTCCATCACACAAACAGCAGATGACAGAGATGATACTTACGCAGGGTATGGCTGTGTTCGTGGAGCAATGGTTCGTGGTGTTCCTGTCTGAATGACATCAGGAGGGGTCATCATCACATAAAACTGACCTGTGGAAGGCACAGGTGTAATCAGTCAACAATGAAGAATAAGACAGCTCAACATTTCACAGAAGACTGACTTGATTCATTTAATTTTTTAAGTGCTTATCCAACGAGGATCCACGGGAAGGTGGCTGGAGCTTGTCCCAGCTGAAATTGGACAACAGGCAGGGACAAGTCGCCAGCTCAACACAGGGCTAACACAAAGAGCCAGGCAACCATTTAAACTGACATCCACACCTACGACTGATTCAGAATCACCGACTAACCTAACATGCATGTCATTAAACTGTGGGAGGAAAGTAGAGAAAAGCCACATCTGGCACAATGATAAAATAACACAGAAATCCTTAAGCCAACTAGCAAAGTGGAACCCCGAAATTTCTTGTAAGGATGCAACTGTGCCAACTGTGTAGAAACAGGCTCAACTCTCATGTACAATCAAGATGTAGACAGAAGAATATTCTACTAACACTACTCATCCATACCATATTCATTCAAGAGCCAAAACATCATCAAGAAATAAATCCACTTATTTTATCTTAAGCCACCTAATCTTGTCATCTGGGTCAGCAAGATGGCAGACCTGGCCTGACAAACAAAATGAGCAACACAATTTTCTGCCACAAAAAAAAAAAAAAATCCACAAACAATGAAGGTCCTCTCACAGAAAACCTTCCCAAATAACAGGTCTTGACACAGACATTCAGCCTGTAGTTATTTCTTTTTCAAAGAATGTGATCAAGGACTAAAACGCAGAATCAGTCACTAACAGAAAACGCACAAGAAAATCAGTATTTCTCAGATGAAAACAGCAAGGTACATTCAGTCTTTTAACCAGGCACTCTGGCTTTCCAATCTGCTGCTAAAGCAGACTGCAGATGCTCCCTCTGAATGAGGCCACGTCTTAATGTTTTAAGATGCTCAATGCACATTAAGTGCTTTGCTTTTTATATCAAACTGCATTAACACTTTGGCTCCAATCTCACTCTTAAAGCTGCACCTAGCCGAGCCTATTATACAAGTTACAGCTGAGGTGCATCAACTGATATGGCCTTAAGGGTGTCTGACTTCTGTGGGTTTAAGTCATGTGATGGAAGTAGACACACAATGCTCAGCGAGAGAGAAAAGCAGTGTGTGTGTGGATGTGCTGCATGAGCTTGACAAGCTATGTCTGTAATTAGCAATGGATGAGCTACATCAAAGAAACCTAATGATTTAAGGAATCAATGCAATGACCTTGTGTGACCCCAGATGTGCCTCTAAATAGGTGTTTTACTGGAGCGTGACTGAGCTCAGGTGCTCAGGTGGGGTTTTAAACCCATTTCATTTGTGTTTTTTAATCATAAACATGAGTTGGATTACAAAATAACAAAAAAAAGTAAATCATTATTTTGTTCTTTTACTATGAAAGTTTCAGTGCCATGTGCCTGCTACTTGTTTGTGTAGTTTTGCTGCCACAAACTACTACATACATCCATATATATGTTATAGTCAGCAAAATATTGTCTTATTTCTATATGTCCAAAGTATCCATCTCTCTCAAGAAGACACAAACAATGCATAATGTAAGGTCACATTGGATATTAGGGGTGGGTGATGTAGCCTCAAAATTATATCACAGTAGTTCAAGGAAATGTTATTTTTGATGACACAGAAGAAAAATATTGAACATTTTATTGGTGACTGCAGTTTGCAGGCAGCAGCATTTATCAGTGCAAACAAAATGAAGGGAATTCTCCACCCTTTTTTTCTTTTAGGTAAAATAAAAATATAACTGCCTAATATTTTAGTTTAACAAAAAAGCAACTTAAACCAGCCACACTTTAGCAGCCTGCACTGTTACACTTAATTGTTTTTGTGGAACTGTGTAATTCCAGTTTATTAAATTACAAAGCTGTAATTTATTATACGTATTAGTGGTAAGTGAGACAATGAGCGGGAGTTACATTTAATTGTTTTTGTGGAATTTTTCTTCCAACGCACAAAAAGCGATTTACATTTTTAGTTAGGAGCACATAATAAAATTGAAATTTAACAATATTTTTTTTTATCCAGAATTTTGGATTTTGCTTGGAGCTTTTTAAACAACACATCAGTAATTTTCATGCAATGCTTGCTTTTCCAGTCATACCAAACGCAACTAGAGTAATAGCCGCATTTGTTTATTTTTGTGTCAGCTAGCATCTTCTTCATAGCCTGGTTGTATGCCCTTTGCTTCAAGTGGTTAAACAAATTTGCTGTTTCTACTTTTAGGGTGAACTGTTTTCTTGTGTATTTTGCAAAGCATTGGTCACTAAATCATCAATGGAGGCTGACATGTAGTTCTCAGACTAAGACATGCTTGGACTTGTTGTGTACCCTAGCGAACATAAATGCTATATTTATCAAGACGAGACACTTTTATGTATTGCAAATAGTTATACCAAAATTATTGTGGACAATATGATATCGTATGAGGTATAGGGCTAAAATCTTAAATGTGGCACTTGAACTGCCTCTTTCAGCCTTGGGTCTATAGATTTATGTTGGAGATATGTTGAATCACAGTTTCAAGCATTTTTAGACCCCAAGTCTGGGCCAAAATGACAGCAAGAAGCACCGCCAGCAGCAGGAACACTGGGTGATGAATTACAAGTTCCTACAATAACTCCTGTCCAGGCTGTACATTCTCCTACATAAAATCCTTGGAGACCCGCAATGTTCGACTCCTTCATAACAATCCTGAAGACAAATAATGACCATCCAACAGTCAACTGCCAGCCAGCAGTAACAGTGTGCCTGCTAGCTCTAGATCTGGCGGAATAATCCATAATAGGTAGATGGCAGTTTTTTGTTTTGTTTATTTTTTAGTTTAAAAAAAGGCATTAAAGCCTACATCTTGTTCTCTAGGTCAACTGAGCACTTACAACGCTCAGTGAACACAGCTTCAGCCAATGATAGCCTGACCCTGACAACCAGCATAAAACCACAAGGACGGGTAATACAGCCAGATGATGGCATATGGTAGGAAAGAGGAAGACATGTGACATGAAGTAAACAAGTAAACATGGTAAGCATGGCAAATTTAATTTTGGCATCTGATAATATTTGACTTGGAGGAGGCAAACTTTAGTCATGGCAAAAAATGTTTCAGTCACATTGCCAAGTTAGGAATCTGAAACAGATTAAAATGAGCCGATGGGTATGTGCAATTTAAAATATTTCTCATAATTATTACAACTGTAATAAAGATCTAATGACCCTTAAAAATTGCTGATTCACAGTTGGAGAAAACTGCGTTCTCCAGCATCATAAATTACATTTTAAAATAACTTACTGATCAAAAATATCCAAATTGGGAGGAAGGAATCACAGAGCAAATTGATTCTGCAACACATATTTAGGTTTATCATGTGTAAAAAAAATATATATATAAAAAGCAAGTGCAATTGTCATTATCATCTTTGGATTGCTTTGCTTCTTCCTCACCAAATATATATTAGTGAACATATGTAAATATGAATGAACATGTATTACTTCACCCACTTTTGTCATATAAAGCACCACCACTGGGATTCGTGGGGTAGTCACTCTAGAAAATCAAGCTGGTGAGGAAATCTATTTATAAAAGCTACATACAGAATGAAAATATTGATATTTAGAGGCTCAGCATAGATAATTTATCTCAACAGGGAGGGATTAGATATATTGCTTATTCTTTGTATCTGCTGTATATGGCCCTGCTTTCTTTGTTATCAGCTCAAACTGTCAGGATCGTGTTCCACTAATAAAAAAAAAAAGGACAGCTATTCTGTCCTTAAGGTACTTCAAAACACACTTCTGTTTGTCACTGAAAATAATAGCTTAATTAGCTCTGCAGCACTGTGATAAGCCCCAGCCCAAATTAGGTGCGAGAACTGACTCACCCCCTGCCTGTGTGAGTGTGGGGTCCGTGGCGGCCTGCACAGACACAGTCCCGTCGCTCACCGCAGTTGCGGGGAAGTAAGCGAAGCGGGTCTCCCCTCCCACTGCCTCTCCTGCTGGGCTTCCTCCATTACTGAAAGGGTTCTGGATCACAGCCTGTGACAGATAAGAGAGAGACAGAGGAGAGCCATGAACGAGCAGCAATGGAGCAGTCACAGCAGGTAAACACACACCTCATCCTCTGTCAGACTCAATACTGGTATCCCTGCTAAACCCCCCCAAGCAAGACACAGTTCCATTTGACAGCTAGGATAAAGGGAGGCAAAGAAGCAGCAGTGATCTTGTTAGCAGGGATAATAGCAAGGTCAGTAAAGCCATCAGTATAGCACTAATGAAAACAAATTTGGTCTGTTCTTGCTAGAAAAATTGCATATTTTTAGCTCAAACTGTGCTCCGACTGTTACTGCAGTTCTTGTGCAACAACTACTGGCACTACACACATTGAAACTACACACCTATATGACTCACTTTGTGTTGACTAGATATTATATTCGGGCACACAATTCACTCTTTAGACCATTTTTTCCATCTTGGCAAGCTTAGAGAAATTACAGCCGCTGCTACAATTTCAGTGAATCAGTGAAGTAGAGATGATGTGATATGGAATGTAAGTACTACTGAGAATAACTGATAATAATAGATATACAACACTGTTTTTTTTTTAAACTGCATTTTTCCCAAATACCACAAATAAGAAATGATCTGTATTAACTATATACCTATTACGTTTTTGAATTATATATATACAGATAAAGCGAAAAGCTTTATCTGTGTACTCAAAAGTACTCACAACAGTTCACAATTTGCTAATAAGCATAATTGTTTTTAGGAGTAACCAAAACAACACACCTTTCTGCAAGTTAATACTATTTTACCAGCTTGAAACCAAAAACTGGTTACACCATCTTGTTTCACTCATAGACAGCAATGTTTGTTAGTGTTGGTCTGCATAAAACATTACATAAAGCGGGGGAAAAAAATGATTCAATACAAGAGCATGGCTGTGTGCTTTACTTACAGCCACACTCTGCACTGTCAGACATAATTTATAGCTAAAATAATATTACTGAGACAGTAATAACTTCATATACCTACTTTTCAGCCAATAGATGTATATACTGACCCATGATATTTTTCATGTCTTTAACAGTATTTGTAAACTTGATGTTTTAAAACATGATAACTGTGTGCAAAGAAACAAAAGAAATTAGAATAACACTGGTTTTAGTTGTTTTCAGTGAGACTGCTACAAATGGCAATACGCAGAAATTAACTTCCACCTTATCCTTTAACACGTAAATAAAAAAAAGCAAGCTTTAAAAAACTGTTTAAACTACTAGTGGTTTCCCTTCGGTCCATTCAAAAGTGTAAAATTTTGATACCTGTGCCACAGCTTGAGGAGCCCCGGTGAATGCAGCTGTTGAGACAACGCTCACTGCTCCTCCTGCATCATCTCTTCCATCAAGGTGTTGGTCAGTCACCTGGACAACACGATACGTCACCTGCACAGACGAAAAGCAAATGTGGGTAAAAAGAGAGAATAAGAAGAAAACAAAGAGAGCAACTAGTTGCTTCTCCATTTATATCCTTACTCGATGTATTTTTCTTTTTGCATTATTCAATCATACCGTGTATAAAACAGCACCTTACCTGACTTGTTGATTTGTTTATCATATCTGTTGCTTCCGTACTGCTCAGCCTAGTATCCTGACACTACAGTTCTAACCTCACTTGTGCACTGATCTCACCATCCCACAATATGCTTACGCTTCAGAATGCGCCTGATTTAATTTTAAATAGCAAGGAAAATGAGCTTGTTTGTTCGAAGAATCAGTATTTGTATCCCTCTATCATGTGACTTTCCTCCTGACTGACATGTGACAGCAGTCTCATGCCAATCCCAGACCAGACTGAAATCACATGATTGCTCACACTAGTCTTGTTTATGCCTGAACCACATGGATCACTGACTCAATTTCCTCCAGCGCAAATCACCCAGTAAGGGTAAACCAACATGAATGTCACAATACCTTTTTTTTAGTGTACATGCTGGCATTACTGACCCATTGTTTACCACTGACCAACAGTGGTGTGAAAACCACATAGTGAACAGGAAGGAGACACTTTTGTACAAAGGTCAACAGTCAATTTTGAGGCTATAAAAAAAGACTATAAACATTGATACCTTCAGGGAATTTATTGAGTGCTTTCCTCCTGACTTTGTAATAAAGGAGGGTGTCAAAGCACCCAGAAAAAGAAAAACAATCAGATAAAAAGAAAATGTAAGCCTAAACATTAAGGACTGTCGTCGGGAGTATGGTTCTTCAACATATATAATCACTCACTGTTGTTTGCCATATGTCCAAGCATCTTTTCAACCACCTCCATCAATATGCAGCTGAGAGTTCTCAGTTGGTAATTATCGTGCTGCACAAACACCCCATGGACATTTAACCACTCTGTGCTGTTTGTGTACTCTCATAAGTGCTAAACAGAGGCAATTTATGCTAACTGTCTAGGCCCTTATGCAATTAGGAACACTTAGACTCTTTCTGAAATGGGTATTAAACAGCAACAATCAGTAGTGTCCACACTTCCATCCATTAACTACTTACCTGCCCACCCTCGGTGCGGAACTGATATTGTATGTTATGGTCACCAAATGTTGCAGCCTGAGGTACACTGGCTATTGTAACAGCTGTCTGTTCTTCTCCTGTCCCGTCTTCAAGGGAAAAGGGGGATAAAGAAACAGGAGTTAGAATGGAAAAGTAACTACACAGCTAAAAAGCCCCGAGTGTAGCTGCAAATAACGAAGCTCAATGTTGCAGCACATAAAGAAAAGCAAGTGTACCGAGGAAAGAGCTTGTGGCTTTTTTTTTTATATAAAGTATTGTGTACGCACACAAAACTACAGTGTGGTCAATGACAGCTTAGTAAATAAATCCTTACCTTCAGATCCCTGGACAACCTCCTCTTCTTGTTTTTCTTGGCTGCAAAGCGGATACAGAAATACCTCAGTTGTTAGAAGCTACGCAACCAGCTAATGTTCGTGAAAATTATATATCAATGTATTAAATTAAAGTAATAACTGACCCTCCACTTCACCGTAAGGGGTGGCAAGTGATGTCTGGGAAGTCAGTCAGCCAGCAGGACAATTATAATGAAAAACACAGCACAGCAACTGCCCTTGGTTTACCAAGAGTGGCTGAGAATAGTTATTTGTTTTAAAAGCTAGCTTAAGCTCTCTTAGCTGTTGACTATGAACACTACTATTATTGGATATAACTAAGTTATACCGCTTAAAGAGTTGTCCACCTGTGTTGCTAACTTAGCTGTAGTCTACACATTAAATTCGTTTTGACAACACTTTATAAGTAAGGCCTTGGTTAGCGTCGTAAACTAGCTGTGTGAAATAGCATGTTGCGGCTAGCTTGTTTCAGTTAGCCATTTTGACCGAGTTACCTTGCGGTGTCCAGACTCGGTTCAAGCATATCCATCAGTGTTGAAATAAAAAGTGATATTCGGTGTCACAGACGGAGATGGAAGTGCTGATCACGGGAACAAACACTCGGGTCATGTGAGAGAGACAGCCCAGGACACGTGAGGTACGGCTCGGTGTCGAAGTTAAAATGGAGGCCGCTGCTGCTGTAGCTGGGTGATCCGAGGTAACTCCTCTCGATCAGCTGTCGCGCCGGAGGGATTTGCTGCTTGCCGGGGACCACGGTCGATAACGTTTCGCTACGGTTTCTCACCCCCACCGGTGACCATAAAAGTGCGAATTAACATCAGCTAGAGCGTGGGGAAGACACCGAGTGTTGCAAACCAATTGAAATGCAAACAAAAAGCTTCTCTGTCGGTGATCTGGGAGTAACGAACAGGCTCCACAAGTAACTTATGCACGTAGCTTTTATTATAATTATTATTATTAATGCGCGAGAGAGTGGCAAGATGTTCTGGCTCAGATCTGAACCAGCAAGGTATTAATGCCACATTGTTATTATTTATGAGCGCATTAGTCTTCGTTAACACCAAGACTTGCGTACAAAGTGGCATTTAAGTGTATTCTAATAACAAAAAACAAAATAAGCTTAGAAGATTATTTCAAACTATTCTTTTATTTTTGCCTCCATGATTTTACTAATTATTGCGGGCCAAAAGAAGAAAAACAAAACAAACTGAAGTCGAAAGAAAGAAAGTAAAGCAAAACAAGTGTGCTAATAACACATTTTCAGTGAACACTGGACATATTATAAATGAGATCCACATATGAGGACATTCGTTTTAAATTTCGATAGAAGAGTGGCAAGTATAATGTCCTCGTAAGTGGATATCAGGCCCTTGAAGAGCAAAATTTTGTATTTTGGTAGACAACCCAAAAATGGGATGTCCATATGTAGGAGGCTAAAACAGTTGAATATTTTGTCTGTGTGTGTTTTTTTCTAACTTTTTAACTCAACCTGATAAACGATAAACTTACAACTGACACACATATTTCTTCCTTCTTCTGCTCCCTTTAGAGGTCCCCACAGCAGACTATCTGCCTACTTCTCACCCTATCTGTAGCCTCCTCTTCTTCCACACTACCCTATGCATATCCTCCTTAACTCCATAAACCTCCTCCGTAGTCTTCCTCTTTTCCACCGGCCTGGCAGCTCTATCTTCAGCATCCTAGTGCAATGCATGGACTATCCCTCCTCTTCACATGTCCAAACCATCTCAGCCATGTCTCTCTAACCTTGTGTCTAAAACTGCTCAACCTGAGCTGTCCCTCTGATGTACACATTTCTAATCCTGTTCATTTTGGTCACTCCCAATGTAAATATTTGCATCTTAAGATCTGCCTCCTGTACATACATCACAGCAGGTTTTACTACTATCTTGTAAATTTGCACTCTTGCTAGTATCCTTCTGTCACTAATCACCATTATGTTATACGTTATACATACGTTATACATGTTATACATACTTACAGCCGTACACACATAATACACATACAGAGAAATGTAGCCATTTATAAGAGACAAAGCAGGAGCTAGATTTTCTCTAAATGCAAAGGGGGATCAGTGAACTCACCATGCACTAGGACAGATGAGCACATATCCTCAACACATTTCCATTTGTTTTGCAGCTTTCTTGTAGGGTCATGCTTTAAAACCAAATGCACAAGCTGATGAATGATCTTTTTTGGTGTCAGACAGACATGAGAAGTACCTCCCAAAGTCTGACCTGCATAGGCCTATCCACTCAGTGTCCTCCTGGTTAACATGATTGCTGTAGAAGTACTAAACTGCCGTGAACTGAATAATTAAATTGAGTTTGCAATGCAATAATTTACTGATGGTACTGGTCTTTATGTTTTTCATTACCAAATTGTATAAATTCTTCAAGTTTATTAGCAGAATTTAACTGAGGTGGCATAGTGGCTTTAGTGGGCAGGCCTGGACCCCCCGAGGCTTATCCATAATGCCAATACTGGGTTTACCCCAGGTATTTAAACTCAACCAACTTTTTTCAACCAACCAACTGTTTTCCTCCTATTCACACACATATTATATCTCAGTTCTATAAACGTTCACTCCTCTTCTCTCCAGAACAGACCTTCACCTCTCCAGGCTCTCTTCCACCTGCTCCTTACTCTCTCACAACTTTATCATTAAGACTATAATGTTATAGTCCACTGAGACTCTTGCTTGACCTCATCTGTCTGGCCATCGTTCCCTTCCACCTGGTCTCCTCTAAACGCAATATATCTACCTTCCTTCGCTTCATTATATCAGCCAGCTCTTTTGCTTTCACAATCACACACTCACCTCATTCCCGCCTATCTTTCTCTCTTTTTGGCTCTGAACATGCCTTCCCCTCTCCTGTTTCTTTGTCTCCGGCCACTAGTAGCACAGTTTCTATTGGCACCTTGATGGCAACTTGCATGTAAATAGCATTCTTAATGCATGCTTGATTTGGTAAAACTTTATGTTGAATGACCTTTTTGATCTAACCCAACCCATTTAGCCAGGGACTGGCACGAGGAGTACACTGACTTATCGTCTATCAGGTGGAGTTAAAACGTTTTTTGACACTCAATATGATTGTCATTATGTCACTCTGTTATTCGTGACCTTTGCCCCATATAAGCGGAACTTTTCTTCTCTGGGTTTTGTTTATTACATAGATATGTGGGGCACCGTGTGATTCGTATGTGGTTCATCGTAATTCACTCATTTTAACCAAGTTGATCAATAAGATAATCATTACGATAGTAATGGAAGTGATATAAGTGTCATTCACCAACAATCGCAGTAAGTTTGAACTGTTATTCAGTCAACGAAATTGCGGCGACCGGCGACTTTTTGTTGAGTTTAGCAACCAACTTACACACGACAGCCAATCGTAACCTACAACACTGGATAATGCCAACATTTCATTGGCTAGAGTGGGGGGCGGTCACTTTAGTCCCTCCTCTGGTTTCACCCTGAAATAATTCCGACTGCTTCTTCAGTGAAGGTTCATTGCGGTGACTGTGTAGCGCTAGTTGTCTGTTATAGTTAAACGTTTCAGCTACAATGTCTGGCCGTGTTCTCGTCGGAGTTAAGCGTGTCATTGACTATGCAGTTAAGGTAATATCTTAGGTCAAATTACCTATTTTCTTTCGCGATTTTAAATGTATTTTTCTTTGCTCACTTATTTGACATTCTGTGCTCTGCTAGCTAATGTTAGCCTAAAATCGTCATTTGGTTGTGGAACCAAAACTATTGTTTTGTTTCTCCACAGATCCGTGTGAAGCCAGACAACACTGGCGTGGTGACAGATGGTGTTAAGCACTCAATGAACCCCTTCTGTGAGATTGCTGTAGAGGAGGCGGTCAAGCTGAAGGAGAAGAAGCTTATTAAGGAGGTTGTGGCTGTCAGCTGTGGGCCACAGCAGTCGCAGGTGAATGAGCTGGGGCGAGACAGTAATTTAGCAAGTTAACTGCTTGTTGGAGTTTTTTTTAGGTGTATTATTTTACATGTAAAAGAACTTTTGAAATCCCATGCATATAACCTGTCAGACTCACAGTAAGCAGAAAGTGATTATTATGATGTTAACATAAATGTACTTTTAATATGTTTAAGGTTATCAGCAATTATAATTTCAGGGTTGTCATCAAACATCAAGCCAAAGAAAAGTTCTCTTACATGTGTTTTTTCTAACTCAGGAGACCATCCGTACTGCCCTTGCCATGGGGGCTGACCGTGGCATTCATGTGGATGTGAGTGGGAAAGACTATGAAAACCTGGGACCCCTTCAGGTCTCTAAGATCCTGGCAGCTCTTGCCAAACAGGAGGATGCTCAGCTTATTCTCCTTGGCAAACAGGTTAAAGATTTCAGTTAGTTTATTTTCCTCACACTCTCTCAAATTGCATTCTTAGTTTGCATACTCTAAACAATACTTGCACTGCTGTTAAGTAATTAAGGACTTGTGTTTATTTCATAGGCCATCGATGATGATTGCAATCAGACTGGCCAGATGACAGCAGCTTTACTGGACTGGCCTCAGGTAAGACTACCTTAAATAGTAGCACTGAGATATTTGACCCCATAATTATGTCGGTATCAGTTTATTTTCTTTCTTTTCTTTTCTTTTTTTGTAGATTTTCTGTGTTTTCTGTTTCTTCGTGGGTGTTGTATAGCAGTAATGATAAGAGGATATGTTCCTGTTCCCAATAGCCTTCACTAACCTTATCAAAGTTGGTAAAAGCTAGTTTGAGTCAGTAAGATCTACAGTAATCCTGCACATATCAACAAAGCCAAAGTCAAAGGCTGCCTGGATAGATGGAGTGAAGTTCTCCTTTGGCTGGCTAAAACAGAGCATTTTAATCTTATTTACAGTGTCCAGGTTGGGCACTTGGATAGACAGACATTGTAATGTAAATGTCAAAAATTATTTATAAATTTGGGTTACATACATTACTCCTGTAGTCAAGATTATTTGTAGTTGTAGTTACACTAGCAAACCAGCAGATGGCATTAACTGATTGAGTCCCATATAATGTGTAGCAGATGAAAATAGAGGAACAGTTCCCAGGGGAGATCCTACTGTGAATTTTTTTTTAATGTATTTATTTTGTGAAATTATACGTATCTTCACATTGCAGGGTACCTTTGCATCAGAAGTGTCCTTGGAAGGAGACAAGATTAATTTGGTCAGAGAAATCGATGGTGGTCTGGAACATATTAAGATCAACACACCAGCAGTGATCACTGCAGACCTTCGACTCAACACCCCCAGATATGCCACACTGCCTAATATCATGGTAAGCAGCTGAAATGATGTTCAGAAACGAAAGATGCTAAAAAGTCATTAAGATCATGTTGCTGATATCTGGGACAAGATTAGAGACAGGTTCTGACTGTAATTGCTGGGTTTACCTTTAAGACCTAACCTGCTATAAAGTAGTTTAAAAAGAGGAGTAATTATTTTATTCACCCTTTGTGCATAACTTGTTTCAGAAAGCCAAGAAGAAGAAGATTGCTACTGTGAAGCCTGCAGACTTGGGGGTGGATGTGACTTCACGGTTGGAGGTGTTGAAAGTGGAGGAGCCTCCACAGAGGCAGGCAGGGATGAAGGTGGAGACAGTGGAAGACCTAGTGGTCAAACTGAAAGAGGCAGGGAGGGTATAGAGGCTTAAGCACATAAGCTGGGAGTGCAGAACCTAACAGAGGTGAGTATCAGTGAATTAATAGTTTTCATCAGAAAGTTAAGCAAAAAGTTACATTTTTAAAGACATCAGGGTCATTTTCTCTGGCATGACTAAGCACCTTCTAGCTCACCTGCTATTTTCATATTCTTTCCCCTTGCCAGTGTGCCTCAGCAACGTATGCTAGATCTTCTCAGCTGGTGATCCCATGTATTAGTATTAATAGGTTTCATGCATTTATGACCTTTCCACCTGTATCTATATCTTAAAAATCCCACAATTATATTTCTGTGCAAACTCTAAACTATATTTGTTTGAAAAAAGGTATGAATTTTATATTATATCAAGTAATTATAACAGGCCTTTTTTTTTTTTTTACAAAAAGAGATTAAGAGTATTTTTAATTTTATGGTATTCTGGGAAAAGGAACAATGCTTCATTAATGAATTGGTAAAAGAAAATTGCATACCACAAATTAATTATCCACAATAGACCTATATCTACCTCTTGATTGCAATTTTTTTAAGAGTGCAGTAAAATTAACTCTTGTGATGAATGATAGAATTGTTTGTGTAGAGCATTATTATCCTTTTTATAACAATCTCATCTCATTTTGAGGGGGGAAAAAAGTCACATTTATTTTGTTATGGCAAATGATATTGTGTCTCTTGTGGCGATTAAAGAAAAAGTAATTAAAGATGCTAATTGCTACTCTTGTCTTGAATTACTTATCTATGTTATTTTCTCTCCTTGCAGGACTCTCTAATGAATAACGAGACTGAACTACATAAGCCCAACCACAGGACAAGCTTATGTGTTGGTCTAATCCCTCTGTTTGAAACTGTGGCTCCTGAGGATATGCAGGGAGGTACTGATAGAAGTGGAGAAATATTGAGACACACTGTCCCGCAGTCAGACAAGCCCAAAAGAATCATCTTGTCTTGTGAATGCATTTGAACTTGCAGAGTAGTTCATTTGTTTCATTATATCACAATGCTATAAAAAGCGGTGTTTATGCAGTAATTAAAATCCAGAATCTTCCCATCACTCATGCTGCTGTTTGTATTGAACTGTACCCAAACTTCCCCAGTTTGATGCATTTCAGCTGCTTCATCCTCATCTGTTAATTCTTGTATATCTGTAGTCAGACATGTTAAGAGGTGCAATTTTTGTAAATGACGTATGTAAATACAGAACCACCCAACATGTTGATTTGAAGACGTCTGCTAGCATTAATATCTTGACTACTGTGACTGTGAGGATTGACTAGACAGTGTCTCTCAGTATGAGCAGGGGAACGTGATCCTAAATTGGAATTTTACCATAAGCGCCTAAGTTCTCTTTTGATTGTACAGAACATTACAATAACAATAAAGCAGCCAGTCTTTTTCACATCTACAGTTGTGTCTGGTCTCTTGGCGTTTCCTTTGAGTTTACAGTACCTTACATTTTATCTTTTAAATTTAGTCTGCAGTCTTTAGACTGTTTTACTAGTTATAGTCCAAAATGTGTTGATCAGATCTCTTATTGTGCCTTATTTACCACCATATTGTGTTTATGTGCTAAAAGACAAATAATTTCCAAGTTACCAAAACTGATTCCTAAGTATGATTTTTTTTTTTTCTTTCTTTCTTTTTTTTCTCCTCTAACCTCTCTACAAAAGGGATTTTGTAAAGGGTATAGTGGTATAGTACCTGTGTAGGTTTTTGACTTAAAACAACCGGTTTAATCTCAAACTAGTGTTTTGAGTTTAATCTTAAGTGTGGTCCTAATACTTGTTGTTTGTTTGTTTTTTTTGTTTTTTTTTAAGACCAGTAAAAGCGTGATTCTTAGGTCATGTGTCTTTAATCTGTAATGTATTATTAGAGCACCTGTGAAAAGAAAAATGGAATCCAGGTTTCAGAAGTTCCAACATTTTTTGCTTAGAATAAAATAGCAAAAACTGCCTCCTCCTTTACAAAAATAAGAATAAACTGAGAAATTGTAAAAGTAACCTGCGAATAAACCTTGAAAATGTGGTTTCTTTTGTTTTTTTTACACTTTACAGCATAATTTCAAAATATAGCCTAATTATTATAGCACTTTATTACAGATTTATTGTTTTGATATATTCAATTGATTGATTTATTCCAAACTACAAATGTCACCTTTTTTAGGTTTTGGTCTCCATACAAAAAGCCTGGTGGTTTTTAGCACATAGGTATGTGATTTAAAACTGGGTACTATATGAACACGTACATGGACAGGCAGGCCTCTTGACTTTCCCGTATTAGCATACATCATTGACTGCTAAGATGAGGGTACCAGAACTATGGTGACGCAGGTAAAGTTGCTACTTAAACGTTCTCTCCACCTCTTCTTTAGTTAATATACCTGGTATATGTATACCAGTTGTATTAACGAAATGTTGATATGTTATTTTATCAGCAAGCAGATACAAATAAAGGGGCTGTTGTGTGTAATTACGTAAGGGGCGTGGCCTCACATGCACAATCGAGTGAGTACAGGTGGGATACTCACGAGCCTGGCTGTCCGCTTGAGCTTCTGCTGATACAGAAATTAGCGCTTTAGGACTTTACAAGACGTTTTTGTTTTTCGTCTCTGCTTTTGTACTGGAAATACAAACGGTTGCTTCTAATAACAAGCGTGCTTAGAGTCAAAAATGCCTTGTGTAAAGGAATTCAAGAGATTAAGCTCGTTGTTTGTGGCCATTTTATCATTTTTTACTTTCCAAGGTGAGACTAAAGCGTAGTTACGCCTTATGACACTTATCTGTGTGATTTTGTTTGTTAGTATTAGAAATTTTTGTGTAATTTTTATGGTTAGAAAAAGAGGGCTTTTTTTGTGCGTTTCTGTAACAACAGCATTGTTCCCGATTGTAAGATTAAACGACAGTAATTCTGTTTAATTGGCATTATTTTGATGTTAGCAGACTTATTGCGTGACCTTGCAATTTCCTCTCTAATTCAGTTACTTGGCTACATCCTCACAGGTGCCCGCTGTGAACTGCTAGTTTCTCCTGATGGTCCCAGTCTGGTGAATGCTTTAGCTGGCGAAAACGTGACTCTGGCTGTGTCCTTCAGTGGTGCCTCTGACGGTGACCCAGTTGTTAGTTGGTTTAAGGGGGTTTTAAGTATTGCTACATGGACTATAAACTCCATGGCTGATCCACCTGTAGCTGCAACTTTAAGTAGTGTAATCAGGATAGACAAACAAAGTGCATCCCTCACCTTTTTTAATGTTCCACTTAACTACACCGGTGACTACACCATCGAAATGGTTAAATCTGGAATGAAAAGAGCCTCAACTACTTTCACTCTGAAAATATTTGGTGAGTGGGCATATCTGGCTGGAAGACGTGCTGTTGTTGATGGCTTAGATAAAATGTTAAATATAACTCTTTAAATATTAAACAACTGTTTTAATATTTTAGACAAACCATGAATGAAAATTAAAAAATGAAATTTGACATTTGTACCTGCTGTCTTAATAAGACTGATGCATTAGAAAGGAAAGGCAGTATACTAGAGTAGATATAATCATCTAGTGGTTCTTCTTTCCTTTCATGTTTTTATTTACAGAGTACATCCAGAGCTTGACTCTGAGCTCACTGCCGGGTCTTATCAAAGAGGGAACTGAGAACTTCACCCTACAGCATAGCATGCTCCAAGGAGTGTTTGAGCAACAAATGTGGTTCTTCAATGGCATTGAAATAAAAAACAGCTCACACTATTTAGTGAAGACACAGGCAAATAGTCTTGTGATCCTCAGGCCGAACCGAAATGACACAGGAGAGTACGCTGTGTTACTGACAAACCCCTTCAGAAATGCAACGGCATCTCAAAATGTCTCTGTGCGGTGTAAGTTTATCAGTTTAAAAGTTTTACAGCTTAAAGTCTTCTTTATTTATATACTTATAAGTCTCTTTATTTATATCCCTGTTTTCTTATAACTCTCCATGGTGTGTTATAGATGGACCCGATGAGCCTATACTTGAGGCCCATCCACTTCAGTCTTTTTATTTAGCAGGAGACTCTTTGAACCTCTCCTGTCAGGCTAATGGATTCCCACAGCCAATCGCTGAGTGGGTCTTTGGTGGGAAGATCATTTCCCTAAAAGGAGTCCTGAATCTAACAAATGTACAAACCAGTCAAGGAGGTGTTTACACATGCAGGCTGGTCAATGAAGATACAAAAGAAAGCCGCCAAAAGAACATGACCTTAACTGTTTATGGTATGTGGAAAAGTAGACATTTTATCTTTTAGGTCATGTTTTTGTGAAATTGTTCTCAATCTGGATTGAGAATTATAGTTTAGTTTGTCATGGTTTGCTGTACATAGTACATAGTACTCATCTAATGCTGTTTACATTTATCTAAATAAAATATTGAAATGTGTACCCAGACATTAATAACAGATTCATTTTATCTTGGGACAGAGCGGCCGGTGGGCAACCCTGAGTGCTCGGTGCAGTCAGTGAATGCCATCAACCTGCAGTATCACTGTGAATGGGTAGGGGGAACCCCACAGGCCCAGCTGTCTTTTCCAGAGCTAAGCAACTCCAGCAGTGGAACAGGGAACTTCAGCTTAACCGTCAATGCATCAGATAATCTAAATGGGAAAACAATCCAGTGCATGGCAGAACACCCGGTTGAACATAATAACTGCAATATCACTGCAAGCAAGTTTTAAATTTTTAACTCATAACAAATCCACATAATGTATGCATAATGTGCTTTATTGACTTTGGCAGTCAACTCTAAACAAGCACCTTGTGTTCTCCAGGTAGTCCTGTAGCATTCCTTCCAATTATGAGAACCACAGTTGACTCTGGGGGCAAAATAGTGGTGACAGTCCGCTGTTTCAGTGAGGCATCACCTAAAGCTGTTGTGTCATGGTTCACTAGCAATGAGACTGTCACCAACGGGTCCACATACCAGATCAGCAGCAACACCTCACAGCTTATGATTCGTCATTACAGTGTCAGCAACTTTCTTCTCCAAAACTACACCTGCACATGCAGGAACCCTCTGGGCAGCAAGAAAAGAGAAATTCAGCTACAAGGTATAACTCACTTGTTCAATTTAATTTCATAGAGAAATATATTTCTTACATTACCATGTTTAACAGGTGATGGAAGTTACTAGTTAAAATAATTTGTTAAAAAAGGGGTTGATTACTCAGATCTTTAAATGTACCTGTCTGACTATGTAAAAACACTAACAACTAAAAGTAATAGTTGACATTCACATCTAGGTAGATAAAAGTATAAAATTGTATTTATGTATGTAAAACAGTAAAGGAAACATTAGTCAGATGAGTGAAAATGTAAGGACATAAATCTTCAGCTGGTTTTATAATTAAAATAACTAACAAAAATAACCAACAGTTTCTTGTTTTAGGTTCTCAGTTCTGAGGCAGTAATGTTTAGAAAGCAGTTAGAGTTTTCAAATCAAAGTTGAGAAAGTGGTATCAAAGTAATTGTTATTTGTAGATCCACTTAAAAATAAAATATTTAAACATATTTTGACATTTTTGTGTCGACTCTAAAGTTAAATATGTGCCATTAAAATGTAAGGAGTCTGCTGCTTTGGAGTACTGCTCGCATTGCCTGAAACAAAGGCACAATGGGCCCTCAGAAACAGAGCTAAGTAATACCTGAGAATGCAGTTTCCTTTCAGACAAAGCTCTTCAGTTTTGGTGTACCCTCACCTCCCCCCTTCTTCTGCCCTTCCTTGATCTCCCCTACTCTCACAATCCCTCTCTCTTTCCAGGACCATCCATCTCAGATTCCAGTTTGTTCCCTAACCGAAACGGAACCATCGTCACGTTGACCTGGGAGGTCCCATCTATGTCTGTTGTTACAGGTACTAAAATTAAGGGAAGGTCTTAAATGTGCTAGCTTGACTTATCTTCACAAGATTATCTCTAAAGAAAAAACACAGACTCACCCTTCTTGTTTTGATATTCCATAACCCATGTGAATGAATACTGCTAGTGTGAAAACAGAAACTCAAAATAGAAGATAGGGGTGTAAATAATGTGTTGTCTGTGAAACTACCATCTACATGGAGCTGTGTTTTGGGCAAAATATTTTAAAGATGAAACTACTAGGAAAAACAAATGCCAGTTTTGGTTATGGCTAGTATCGGCTAGCTTATGTATATACAATTACCAGTTTCAGTAAGCTCTAACATTGATCACTGAAATCTTGAGAGATCTGCTAGAATTAACTGGTTTCCTCTGTGAATTGTGATGCTACAAAACAGAATTGTATGTGATTTTGTTAAGCGTTCGACATCCAAATGAAAGGACCAGACCTTCTGAGCAAAAATCGCAATGCCCCTCTGACTAAAAGCAGCTCAAATGTATATCGCACAATCCAGCAGAAACCTGGTTCTGCCAGGAGTACGGATATCTTTTTCCTTGATCCCAAGCTGACCTACTGGTTTCAAGTCATCCCCAAAGCTCGTATGACCAATGGAGAGCCGTCTAAGAGCC